CTTTTTGTACGGCGACGGAAATCTGCGCAAAAAGTCCATTTCAAAGAGTGCCGAGGGTATATATGTATTTCGTGTCGTACATTGTCAAAGGATGCATCGATAATGGCGTCATCCCACGCACCTGTCGTCATTACGCCCTTGGTTGCTAGAACAACCGTTCGCATCGACGATTGCCATTGCCGCGAGCGTAACGAGGCTGAGCACTGCATGACGAGATACATGCGACGGCGACGTTGGTGGCTTCGCCCAGAGCAGTCGGCGAGACGCGGTTGCTCGTCGCAGGCAGGTCGAGGTACCATTGTGCAACTTTGGTTCGTAGTGGCGTGTGCTCACCGGCGGCGAGTCGCTGCCAGAGATGCTGGTAGTTCACGTGTGGGCGAATGCGAGGATGACGTCGTTGTCATCACCGGCGGTCGCGTCGTAGCGAGCAAAATATCGTTGGACGCGGCGTGTCGGCCTCGAAACTCTATCGACGAGCGTCGTATACGACTCTTTGACGTTGGCGTCAGACGGTGCAACGGCCATGCCGATGGCGATGGGACAGCTGCACCGCCGTGGTCGACTCCCAAGGCGTATCCCATTGGCCAGAATATTCATATATTTGGCCAATCAAGGTCGATTCGTTTCGCCACGCCAGGCGCTCCTTGGGGAACGACCGCTTTCGACGCCCCAATCCAGTTTGAAACGAATTCGCTAAAACTTGGCACAGAGATAAAAGACACTTTGGAGAGTACGTTGCGCGATGTCGCATTGTCAAGCGACGCGTACAACACGAGAAATCACATCTGTTATTAATACTGGCAGACACCAAGTATAGCCATATGTAGTATCTAAATATGGTTATTATTGGCATCTGCTTCGATGAAAAACCAAGCCTCAACTAACTGCAAGAGCGGGAACGCGTGCGTCCACAACGCTCGGGGGTGCGCTCGTCGCGCTTGAGCTGCAACAAAACTCCAGCCGTCCAACAAGCTACGATTCCTACCAATGGCGCCACCCACCACTCGCCCAACGGAGCAAATGCCAGCACCTTGTTCAAGTGTGATTTGATTGTGACTGCATCTGGCACCTGCCGCTTTCGACGTAGTTTCTGTCCCGTCACGACTCGGCGCCGACGACGACAAGGTCTTTGCCTGACATCCTACCGTGTGCTCTGCCACAATGACCAAATACAAGGTGATTTTGATGAAGAGATATTGTATGGGTTTTCGGTGTGAATATCAGCGTTGGCGTCCAAGAGGAGGCGCACAATTTCGAGATAATTGTATTTCGCAGCGATGATCAGAGTTGTATCTCCAATCTACCGATCGTTGAATTTCAATTGCAATCAAAAGATGATAGAAATATCGATCGACGTACATCACCAAAATTCGTCGACACGTTCTTCGTCAGCAAGTAGTTGACGACGGTCGTTTGACCACTCCAAGCAGCATACCATAATGCAATCTACGACCAATAGCAAACAAATTATACAAATCTATCGATCGATAAGACGACGTACACCATTCTCAAAGTCAGGATTGACGTCTTCCTTCTCCACGAGCCGCTTCACGTCGTCCAGTCGACCATCATCTGCAGCTTCTTTGAGCTCACACTATGTCGTCACAGACGCAGTCGGTCGCTTCCTTCTTCTTCATATCTGTACTTCCATGTACCTCATTTGGCGTCGCCATGGTCCTCGCGGCCAAAACGAAAATGATCAAGTGAGATTCCCCTTTTAACCCTTTTAATGAAACGCTGCCATTTCCAAATTTCGTATTGGATTGGCCAAAATGCACACCGCACATGTCCCCTGTCGCTCGGTTGTGACCAAGAAGAGAAATCTCGTCGGCGCATCTCGGATCGACGAGCGCTGTTTCCGACGCCATCGCATCGGCGCACGCGTCTTGTTGGCTCGCAACAGCAATAAGAATCTGCAATCAGCTATCTTGCTCCATCTGACAGTCGTCCGTCGTCGACACTGCGATCTCACAGTATGCCACTCGTTTGACGCAGTTATCTCCACCATAAGCACGCCCGCAGGGATACATGTATTCCTAAGTGGTCATGGCTTCAGCATCCAACCGAAAAGACACCCGAGCTGTGAACCCGGAGTTTCGTTCAAATATAGCCGTGTCCCCCTGCACTCTGGCCAGCTTGAGCCGAGTGGACCACGAAACATGCGCCACGCCTGGGCGACGGTCGCTCCACTGAGCGTACCGACCGCGGCGCTAGTTCAAGTCCGCTATACACGCAGTGCACGCGTGCAGCGCATCATCTTTTACGTGTGCTGCCTCTGGAACGCCGCCGCGCCGCTCAAAGCGTGGTTCCTCTCGCGCTACGGCTTTGTGCCGACAACGACAACGACGATCGTGAATCTCAACTGGGA